TGAGGTCGCTAGGGCCGTTTTTCCCAATCACGCCGTTCCACTTTTCGACGTCTACTCCGACGTGCGCATTGAAATCGCCTATCACTATGAGGGACTCTGTATTCAGCACTTCGGACAAAGCAGATTGCTCTTCCTCAAGGAAGGTCTCATATTCTTTCTTCAAATTTGGCGCATAGACCTGTACAAAAGTCATCGATTTAGCCTGTTGTAGCTTCAGTCGGAGGATTACCACCCTTCCGCTTACAGACTTCCAATCAATTATTCTATGGGCGAGATTGGGTTCTACCAGAACAGCAACACCCGGCATGAGTGCACGTCGTGAAATCGACACTTGAGTAGAACAACTTGCAACCACTGAGGTTCAGGAGTCCAGAGCCTGGGCGTTTCGTTGACTAGAGTCCAACAATGTCGAGTTGGTACGTTTGTCCTCATCAACTAATTTTTGTTCTTTTCCTCTGATGAGGATATGTTCCAATTTGTGACTTTAAGATCCCACTAGTGGTGGCGTTATCGTGGATTTTTTTCTGACGTGCTATCATGGTATCGCGCTGTTTGTCTCCTCCGTTTCGTTGGTGATTCGTTTGATGATTTGTATATTCGTTGCGGTTGTGGTGCTGCTACCCGTCTGGCTGGTAGAAGACGATGAGCAGGTTCTGATCGTGGACTTTGCGGAGTCTGCCTCAGTCCCTCAATAGCCTGAGTGGCTCTTGGTTATCCGCGCGACGACCGAGCCTGTATAGTTTTCGACGACATCAATATCGTGAGCGGAAGGTGGAGAACTTTTACGAATACTTTGCTACGGTCTCCAACCCTTCTCCTTTGCTAGCCAGGCGTGGGACCGGCAGTGGCGAGTTTTATCTGAAACCTTTGAATGAAATTAAGATAACAGTACCAGCGACAAAGCGTAGGAGTAGGCAGCAGTTGCGGAACTGAGGAAACAATCTAAGTACGCTCAGCAGCTTTTGGAGGAAAAAATAAGGCGACTGAGGAGGGAACGTACGAAGCAAAAGGCACTTGACAGGATGTAAAGGGATATTAACTGTAAGGTGTTTGAAATGATGCACTTTGAATTTCCATACCTGTGAAGTTGCGAGTGTTACCATGGCCAAGAATGGTTTGGAAAAAAACAAGGAGGGCGAAGTCAGTGACGGCGTAGAAGAGAAGATTACCTGCATCGAAGCGTAGGCCAAGATCTGATGAACGTTTCTAAACGGCTGGATCAGGCTCGAAGAAGGAAGGATGAATAGGAGAAAAAACGGCAGGAAAATTCTGAGGAACTTAGACCGGAGAACTTGAAACAGTGGCAAAGCTTTCATGCATTAGCAACGATACAATAATACATCATGGATTACGAAAGGAGACAGCGGAAGAGTGAACAGACTAACAAGTCAGAGAAACCACGACCGGAAGAAGAAACGCATCTAAACGCCAGGGCTGGACAACTGATCGAGGTATTGGGTTGCCAATATTCGACTGAAGAGTCTGTGGCGACGCTGAAGGCGGAATGAGGGAGTCGGCAGTGCAAGCAACGCCAGTGCGCCGAATTTAATTAATCATACGAGGAGTTCTATTTAGACATCAGAGGCCTTGAGGAGGAACACTACTCACGTAGTGAAGATACGGCTGCGGAATGCGAGAGCGGAAATTCTGCAGTTGGTGGAATGGACGACAATTGCGACGTCAGGTTAAACGGCAAGTTCGAGTAATTGTACACAAGTGTAACGAGTGTAACGACGGCGTCGATTCAGCCGGGCGAAATCGTGACTGATGTGATGGAATACAGTTCGGTAAATTAATGAAGAACAGAGGCACTGTTGAAGAGTATCCGAAAACTCGACCTCCTCCAGGAGTTGAGGAGGAAGCATATAACCGGCGAAAGACGACCAGTTTTGGAACAAAACTGGCCTTGAAATCGAATTCTATTTCGAATGTAGGACGAGGTACTGAAGTTCATCACGGGTACTGAGGAAATGCAGTGCAGGAACGCCGAGTCTGAATCAGCATTCGAAAGTCACCAGAAGGAGGTCGCTGAGTAAAGCACGGCACTGCATGTGGGTGGAGAGCTCTGTGGACAAGGACATGACGTATGCCAAGTTTTGAAGAATCAGCTAGACATGCAAGACTTTTGATTGGCTGAAGGGACTAATAACGATGCTGAACGACGTGCACACTTCATGTGCCAAAACGACAAGGTCTATCGAGGGGCTGAGGGCGAATATGCCCTCCCTTTGAAGCAGTCGTCCAGCAAGTGAAAAGGTACGGAACAAGACAAATGGATGAACTGATGAAGGCGAAGACTTCGGTCTACCACTAGTCATAGGAGAACGGATCATAGCATCATAGCACACTGTAACGGGTATGGACGCGTTACAGTAGATGCTTATGCAAGAAGTGTAGACGGAAAGGGATGATCAATGCCGTAGCCATTCTCCGCAGCGACGCGTCCGCCGTGGAGCAAAATCGAACGGCCGCTGCTCAACTGAAGTGGAGGAACGAAGTGAGGAAGGTGAATTGCCGCAAAGCTCAAGACGAGGATCCGAGGACCGCGATCATCAGCATGTAGCCACAGGTTCCACTTGTCCACGGTATCGATGCTTCGACGACGCTTGACGTACCGTTGATCCGCCATCTGTACTGCACCAGCAGGCGACAGTAAAAATCTCTAATGTGATAGGAAGTGAAGATGAGTGCTGCCTTGCATAAAATCAGGATGAGTTAACTCCATACGGCACCATCCGGCAGACGCTCCTTCCCACGCAGAGTCTGTGCAATGGGAAGCAAACACGATTGCTTCTGGAAGCTCTGCCTCACTTTACTGCATTTCTTAGCCGGATGCATCAGTGACTGATCAACCAGCAAATTCTGATGGAAAACGCATGTTAGATCGCATGTCAGATTTATCATTATGGAAAACATGAACTGCGAGATAGAGCTAATCGACAAAGGCGAAGAAGAGGTGAGAGGTTATACGCTGCATCAGGCAATGAACCGGCTCGGCTGTCCATGCGGGTGGTTCCTCTAGAAGTCTGGTTGCCGATACGGCAAATTTGCCCAGTCCGCAATTCTGAATTCTTCGAGAACATTAAAAGATATGCTGCAGGTTTCACCCCCTGATGCCATGGTCTTGTAACACCTTCGTAGGGCAGCTGCTTGCATTTTGAGCAGTTACCCTCTGCTTGTTCAACGCCTGCTTCCACGACATTAGGTTCCGTTGGTAACTATACCAAAAGTTAATTAAAATATAAACCCAATGTTCGGGGTAGCAATTCGAAGAAATGCAGCTTTCCAATTCCGTCAGCAGATACTATATTTTATCAATTGTTACCGGATATACACGGCGAAAACTGTGAAGTTACTTGTGTAAAGTGACATTGCGATAGGACAAGACGGATGGTAGTCATTACACTCGGTTGTCCGTAATATATGCCTTAAGCAGAAATGGAAAACCTCCACTCTTGGTAGCTACTTCAGCAGTATTTTGATTAATTTTCAGATGATAAGTTGATTGATAATGGTCACCTTTACATTTATCACGTTACATCCCCGAACATATCGATCGATCAGTAAATGACCGAGATATTTTGATTTTACTGATCGATCATCCTCGGATTCTGGACACTCAGAGTCGCAACCTCATCGATTGTTGGCAATTTTGGCTTCAAACGGCCAGGAATGTGTAAACGGCAAATGCTGCCTAAATTGCAGCTTGGAATCTCAGCATCTTAATGGACAGCTGGAAACTGATAGCTGTCCCCAGCCAGGTGATCTGTCAATTGGAGCTTGCGAAGAGAAGACCAATGACCGACTTCCGACGACCGCCGTACAGCCGCCCTTTATCATCAGCTGATCAATAGCGCAGAGTGTGGCCGGGTAATGACAAAGCTTCTGAAACTACTGTCTCCTCAGTGCTAATGTATGTCCTCACCTGGACAAACGTCGTGAAAGATTTCGCTAGACTCACGCCGACCGTTGTCTTTGAAATCCAATGCGGAAAAGGGAACGTCAGTCAAGGCAAAGATCGACGCATCGGTCATATATCCATGCTTATTGATTTAAACAGTGCAGAACCATAATCAGTGTCTTGTCACGTGACTTCATTATGTTAACACAAGTGAATACCTGTTTAGTGAAAGCAATATTTGCTCGTCTGCTTGACTGCTTATTTGCTTAATTAAGGGCAGCTCATTCAGTCGTTGTTTCGGAGAGACGGAGCGAAGCTGGCTGTAATACCTAATTATCTTGATAAATTATACTTGTGTTGCTTATGGCAAACTAGCTTCCAGCGGTAAACACGAGGTTGTTGAAATTAACACAGCTAGAAGCAGGCGGAATAAGCGAAGCTAATGACAAACTG